ACACCTGCGACGCGATGGACACTTCACAATCGACAAAATAGAAAAAACACATGCGACACGCAAACGACGACTTGACATGCGAGTTATAAAAACTCGCTAATGTCTTGACCGACACAAACCACATTGTGATACACCATTCAAACACACACACAAGCACTAGATACCAATGACATAGACTCACAATTCATTCCATGCCATGCATGCACACACACAAACAAGGACGACAAGCCGAGTGCAAACCATAGGGTTGCACCAACAGGTTTGTCGCGCGGACCGACGGAGAGAGAGGGGGGACAAGTCATATTAAGGGGGTAGGGAAGGGTGGAGGAGAGGGGAGAGTGGTCACGATAAGGCAGGTACGGCATTGGGATGAAAGCAAGTAATGGAAGGCAAGAGGTCCTAGGGGCAGCAAGCTGGCAGTCAGACGGGGGTAAGTGAGAGTCGATGCAAGCAGCTGCCGCCACTTTCCGGCAAATCTTGGTCCACCACTCAGCAGTAACTTCTCACCCCCTCCTCCCCCCCCCCCCCACTAACCACGATGCCGGCGGTCTTGCAGGTCTGCACGGCGAGTGGCACTGCGCAGGGAGTCCTTGATGCCCACCACAGCCTGCAGCACGAGGTCCTTGTCGGGGATCTCGTCCTGGTCGCCCCACACTCCGCCCTCCGGCACCTCCTCGGGCCGCAGGTCGCAATACGCCATGGTGAGCGTGCGCAGCGCATTGTCCGCGAAGCCCAGCTAGGGAGAGGCCAGTGATTGTACCTCCGCACCGAAGCAGGCGGTCGCGGAGTGTCTGGCAGCGACTCATATACTGCATCGCCTTTTCCCTGGTTTTCATTTGTATTGTGGTCAACTGCTGCATGAGTCTGCTTTGTATCACGCTGTCGTTTGCTTGATAGAGACACTTCAGATGATGCCAGGCAAGCTCCGCAGAGTTTCCGTAGCTCCGATACGTTCGAACCGTACCATGCAGTTGATGATGTTTGGTGTGTCTCCTGCAGGTGTAGAGGAGCGGCTTGGCGGATTTTCTTGAGTGGAGGCGACTTGCGGATTTGCTGGACGATAAACTCGAGGGCGTGTGCAGTTAACCTTGGAGTGTCCGGATGTCTGACAATTGTGGCAGAACGGCAGCACGACGGTGAGACCTCTTGTGTCATATCGATTATGCTTATCGCGTCGGTTGTAGTTGTTGTCGTTTCTTCGTTGAGTATAGAAGACTAACGGTTGCTGCTTGTTTCTTGGTTGTCTTTCTTCAAACAGGTCCATCTCCTGTTGTTCGGCATGAAGTTCGGCGCAGAGGTGCATCTCGGAAATTCGTCCGCGGGCGCGAAGAAGCGAGTGCGTGGTTCTCCATTCTGGTCCGAGCCCGGCAAGAGCAAGTGTCACGAAGCTTTCCTCAGTGATTGTACCTCCGCACCGAAGTAGGCGGTCGCGGAGTGTCTGGCAGCAACTCATATACTGCATCGCCTTTTCCCCGGTCTTCATTTGTATTGTGGTCAACTACTGCATGAGTCTGCTTTGTGTCACGCTGTCGTTTGCTTGATAGAGACACTTCAGATGATGCCAGGTGAGCTCCGCGGATTTTCCGTAGCTCCGATACGTTCTGATGCTCTGTTGCTCTTGTGGTGACAGATTTCGCAGGAGAACTGTGTACGCCAGCAGCGGCTGATAAGTGAAGATTTCCTGCTCCTTTGTAGTACCATTGCTTGGAAATGGTAGGGACCTGTTGAAGTATCCCAAGAGGTGCGCGGCCTCCATCAGCAGCTCGAACTCAAAACTCCAGGTAAAGAAGTCGTGCCCGTTGAACGGTGAAGATGTCTGCGGTTTGATCATATGTGAAAACTGCGCCTGGAGACTCAATATCTCGTTTGGTGTCTGTTGTGATGCAGCTGCTGATGGTTGAGCACAGGGCGGCATGAACTCGAACGTCCCCGGTGAAGAGTGATAAGGCGCAATTGTAGGTGCCTGATTGTGCCGCGCGAATGATGAGTTGTCGAGGCTCATTGGTGCTAATCCCATATTTCCCCCGTTGCTCTGTGTTGAATGCGCAGGTGTCCTTGTCTGCTGCTGCTGGTCAAAGTCCTTGACTGTAGATAGAGCGTTGTTGCTGGGGATTTGGTCTCTGACCAGCTCTCATACCATGTTGGGCTGAGAAAAACCCTTAGGATCTTTCCAGAGACTAAGTCCCACTTGTACAAGGTGTTTGAGTAGTGATTCGGAAGTGTTGAGTACTTGAACCCTTGCACTAGTATGTGAGAGCAAGTGATTGATTAAAAGAAGCAAGCATACAGCAATATATAGAAAATAGGAAATAGATCAGTTATAGAATACAGTTGAAGAAACGGTTATCGAGTCACACAGCGACTCGATCGTTGGTTCGGTTACCATCTTTGCAGTCGTAATGGTCAATTGCAACCTCCGGTTGCGACCCTACGAGTCCCTTCATCCTTTCGTGTTCTTTCGTCCAACCTCCTCGTGTAACCTCTGTTGACTCGCGTACTCGATACGACTTTCCTGGGAGTGTAGTGTTACACTTCAGAAACGCTTAAGTCTTCGAGGTATTTCCAACATTAGCAAATAGCGTTCGTCATGAGGACCATCGTTTCAGTCACGCGAACAGTCGCGTCTCTTCAGTGTCATTCAGGGCGCATAGCGTGATAGTGTCAACAGGTACATTAGCGAACAGGTACTTCTGTTATATATAAAAGTAGCATGTCTTCATTGTTTAGTTGACTTGATTCTTAAAGCCCGCAGCTAAAATAGCAGACCTGGAAACCACTTGAATTTGGTGCTTTGAAATCCGTCTAAGTATAGAATGCAAGGCAGCTTTGAGTTTAAGCCTGAACAAGAAAAGTGCGTCGAAACAAATTCTGGTCGAGCTTGTTGATTGGAGGAATGGCGAAAGAATTCGTTTTGCTGTTTGTTGCGACACGATCATTTGGATGCGAATTGCACAAAAACACTGTGTGCATCGCATGGAGTTTCTACGACTGGTTTGGGCGAGCAGCTTGCGACGAGGAAATGCAGGCGCTTTATGACTGGGGAATTCAAGTGATTTCCAGGTCTGCAATTCCAGAATCAGCTACTACTCGCCAAAAAAACACTGTTCTTTTCGCATTTTCACTGTTCATGGAACCACGAATTCGGTCGCACGACGCGTATTGCACTGTTCACCGAATGGTTTCGTGCAAAAACTGTCGCCAAACCACCACGGTCAGATTCCGCCATGCAAAACGAAATGTTTATATTCTGTTTCGTTTACTCTAAAGTTCAAGCCATGTGTCAAGTTCAAGAGCAAATTAAACAGCCCTCTTGATTGCTATTATAGCCACGGGCTTTAACTTGATTCTTAACTTGTTCTTCAGTAAATGTAATTTTTTGAAAGCGTGTAACACTTTCTAAAAAATGTGTATTGTGAAAGTGTAGCGAGGGCCAATGCAGCAAGGTCAGCGTCGAAGCGCTACTCACCCTCTTTTGCCTACAAAAGAGGGACGTGAGGCCATTCGACCTCACCCACGTTCTTCATTTCTAGTTCCAGTTTCGTTTTCCAGTTCTCGTCCTAGTTCTAGTCTCCTTATTCTCGCCCAAGCTGGCGAAAACCCAGTCTCTTCCGCGCTTCAAAGCCCCGACAACGCTCCTCACCGACATTCTGCAGCACAATATTACCGCGATGACTTCCGCCAATTCTGCTCCGGCTCGCGCGGTGAATAACATTTCTACCCCCGCTAACGCCCAGGCGCTCGGAACTTCGCCCGGAGGAACCGACCGACGTCAGAAACGTCCTGCTGAGGACAATTTTGGCGAGGGCCCCTCAGCAGTCGAGATTCTGCTCGGCGGCAGTCACGCTGCTCCAGAAGAAACTCGCGCGGCTGCAAAGCAGCCGCGTGTGCAGGCAACGGAAGTCCACGCGCCAGCCCGAGGCGCGTCGCCTGCAGGCCAGGCGGGCCCCACCACCCAGCACGCGCCTGCCGCCGACCCCGCGCCAACCGCCGCCGCCCCCGCCTTGATTGCGCACCAGCTGCAAGCGCTTTTGGCGCTGTTACAGCAGCAAGCTCCTGCTGTTACAGTCGGAACCTCATCCGATAACGCTGCACGTACGACCAATTTTAACAAAAAGAAAGAAATGGCTACGCATCCTCGCACGCCCAAGGCTCCCCGCGCCGACGACCAGCCCCCGGCACCAACTCCCGCACCCGCTGACAACCCCGACGACAGCGACGACTCCGAAAATGACGATGGTGAGGGTCCCGCCAACATTGCTCGTCGTCGCATCCTCGCACCCGCACCCCCCCTTCCCCCCCTTGGCCCCATGCCCGCAGCTACTACCTTCATGCGCAAGGGCGTACGCGACCAGGCCGAGGTCTTCACTGCCATCGAAGCGTACCTGAAGCATATCGACTTCAAGCTGCAGCACGGCGACGTCGTCGGCGCACTCAACAATGTAAAGGATATCGAAATACTTAATAATAAGCGTTTCCAAGTCCTTCTCGTTGCGGACGAAGCCGGTTTCGAGGCCGCCGACCGGTTCCAGCTCTATCAGTCCAAAAGTGTCCTGACATCCCGCTCCTACAAGCTGGCGGTCGCGGATGTGGCAGCGCTCAAGCGTGCACGCCTCGGCTATACGCGCGGCGGCCAACCCGGTGGTCGCGACACGGACTCGGACATCAAGGGCTCCCCCCCTGCTGCGTGCCAGCAGCCGCGCTTCAAGGGAGTCTGCTTTCGCTGTGGCCAACCAGGCCACATGGCCAATGCATGCCACATGGGAGGGCGTGGTGCGCAAGGTCCCTCACCGGTGGTGTGAGCGGTTGATAGGGCGGCGCCCTTTCCCACATGCAAGAGGCATAGTGGGTTGCACGGTAGGTGCATGGCCGGTGGCCAGCCTTTTGCCAAAGGCAAGGAGTCTTCGCTGACTAGGGTGGCCCTTGGGGACAGCAAAGGCTGATAGGCCTAGGCTTGTAATAATTCCTATGATTGAATTAAAGGCTCGACCGTGTCACGGCCATCCGTTTTTTTTCAAAAAAAAAAAAAAAAAAAAAAAAAAAAAAAAAAAACCCTTGAGGGGGTTGGGGGGAGGGAGGGGGCTACAAAACCAAGCCAACATGGCTGGTCAGCCTTGAGCATGGCCTCCGACCCCTCACTTTTTTCTTTCCCGACCACGCAACACGCCCCGAGAGCTAACCATGGAGGCACGCTCGGCACCCAACAAAATGGTGCGCACGCACGCACTCGGAGATGCACTATTTAAGAGCCAAGGACAGAGTCTAGGAGCTCAAAGCTAACACAAAGAGTGGCCCAAACAAGCAGAGCAAAAGAAGGAGGAGGAAGAAATGTAAGCCAACCACCAACGAGCACCAACGCGCTTAAAAAATGTTCACGTACGAACACAGCACGTGATGTCTTCGCACGCAAAGGAAAGAGGGAAAGAGGGAGATCAAGAGATGGAGAGAGAGAGAAATAGCAAGCGAGAGAGAGAAAGAGAGAGAGAGAGAGAGGGAGAGAGAGAGAGAGAGAGAGAGAGAGAGAGAGAGAGAGGGAGAGAGAGAGAGAGAGAGAGAGAGAGAGAGAGAGAGAGAGAGAGAGAGAGAGAGAGGGAGTCAAAGAAAGTGAGAGAGAGCAAGAGCGAGGGGGAGAGAGAGAGAGAGAGAGAGAGAGAGAGTGAGAGAGAGAGAGAGAGAAAGAGGGAGAGAGTGAGAGAGAGAGGGGGAGAGAGAGAGAGAGAAAGAGGGAGGAGAGAGAGAGAGAGAGAGAGAGAGAGAGAGAGAGAGAGAGAGGGAAAGAGATAGAGAGAGAGAGATAGAGAGCGACAGAGAAAGAGAAGGCGGATAGAGAGACGAGTACCCCTTGCACCTTGCAAGCACCTAACACGGCAGTGGCCGTGCGGTCCGAGCATGTCACGCCCCGTCTACACTTGCCCCGCATCGTGCACCTGCTCACGAGCACAGTATCTTACTCCCATCTATGAACCCATGTTTATATCCCCGTATAATGCAGAGATCCCAAGTGGGTGGCCACGAGAGGAATGCGATCCCTACGAGCTCGCAACTACAGACAGGGACGTGACCATCATGCGCAGTCGACTGCGGCATGCCTTGCACTGGTGGTGCTCTTGGTGTGACAGTAGCTTTATCCTCTCCGTCATCGCTAAAGGGTATTGGCTGCCCTGGAAGAATACAGCCCCCACTCCCTTCGAGGACAACAACCATGCCGGAGTCTGCACGCACCTCGACTTTACTCGCGTCACAATTCGCGATCTTGTAGTGACCGGCGCTGCTGCAGTGATCGAGAAGAGAGACACACTAACATGTGTCAGCCCACTGAACGTCGTGAAGCAACGCGACAAATGCCGCCTCATCCTTGACCTGCGGAAAGTGAACACCCACCTTGAAGCCCCCAAGTTCAAGTACGAGGGTCTGAATCGTGTAGCCGAGCTCATCCGCCGAGATGACTGGATGTTTTCCATCGACCTGAAATCTGGATACCATCATGTCGAGATTCACCCTTCGTGTTGGCAGTTTTTGGGCTTCCAGTTCGAAGGCATCTACTACTCCTTTCGGTCACTGCCTTTTGGCCTTGCAACTGCTCCATTCGTTTTCACCCAACTAATTAAACAACTTGCCAAGCGATGGCGGGCAAGCGGCGTTCGAGTGGTCCCGTATGTCGACGACCTATTATTTCTCTGCGATTCCCACCAGCAAGCGTGCTCGACTCGTACGACAGTCCTCCAGGACCTTAACGCAGCTGGCTTCGTCATTAACGGCAAAAAATCGCACCTCCACCCCTCGCGTCAGCTTCGCTTCCTCGGATTGGAAATCGACTCCACCCGCGGCACGTTCTCCGTCGGACTCGAGCGAAGGGCTCAACTCTTAACCACGCTTGAGGCCTTGATAACCCAAGGACAATCAGGAAGGCATATTCCCGTTCGATCCCTCGCAAGAGTTACAGGCATGCTCGCCTCTATGGCCCTAGCACTGGGCGCGACGGCACGAGCATTCAGCCACGAACTCCTGCGACTTATTGCCGACGCAACGTCCTGGCACTCCAAGGTCCTCCTGCACCCGGCAGCGGTGGACGAGCTATGTTTCTGGCTGGCGCAATTCGACAAATTTAACGGCGCCCCATTTCATCTCAGTCACCAGTTCGACGCCGTCATCCACGTGGATGCAAGCGCCCACAGTTGGGGCGCCATCCTCACGCCGCTCCCTGGGATCCCAATAGAAGCAAGCTCCCACATGCCAGAAGACCTCCTACACACTTCCAGCACCCGAAGGGAACTCGAAGGTGTACTGTGGGCACTAAGAACCTTTGACACCCACATCTCCAAACGGCACGTGTTAGTTCGTGTGGACAACCAGGGGGTTGTATTCATACTGCGCAAAGGTGGCTCCAGCATCCCTGCACTCACACTACTTTGCCAGGCGATCATCGACCTTTGCTTAAAAAACCGGACACGCCTTGTCATCGAATGGATTCCCCGGGAGCTGAACGCGCACGCCGATGAACTCTCCAAAGTCCAGGACCGAGATGATTACTCACTCAAATCCCCATGGTTCCGACTCCTCGACCGCCGCCTGGGGCCTCACTCTGTCGACCTATTCGCGAATGTTCACAACGCTCAAATGGGGCGCTTCTGCTCCAAGATTCCTCACCCCAAGGCCACAGCAGTTGATGCCTTCTCGCTCAGCTGGCATGATGAACGCGGCTTCGCGTTTCCCCCCCCCCACCTCATCCCGGCTACTCTGCGCCACGCCCAACGCACCCACGCCGAGTTGACGTTGGTCATTCCCGAGTGGCCAGGAGCCTCTTGGTGGCCCCTACTGCAGCCAGCACCACGAACCTGGGCACGAGAAGTAAAGGCACATATTCCCCTCACTCAAGGCAGCCAATGCCTATCCCCAGGCACACACTCACTCGCCTTAACTGGTCTCGGTTTTCCCAATAGCCCGATCATTGCGCTGCATGTGACATATAAAATATAACCCCACCGTGCCTGGGCTCTCTGTATTTCAGGCTTATTATCAAAACTACAGACACAGCTACTTCGGGTAATGAGTCATGCCCGCGCGCCATCCACCATAAGGACCTACGAGCCGTATTGGCTCAAGTTCCGCTCCTTTTGCACGAAGGTCAAGCTGAGCTACCTGCCTGCCACAGACACCACTTTAGCGCTCTACCTTGTCTATGCCCTCAACAATCAGGCCACAGTATCCGCCATATCCCTTACGTGCTCCGCCGTCGCATTTGCACATCGGATGACCGGAGAACCCTCTCCCACTAGCGGGCCTTTCACTTCACAAGTTCGTGAATTCTCCAAACGCCACGGCCCGTGCACCACCAGGACGAAGGAACCCTTGTCGCTCCACCAGGTGCACGCCATGGCACACCCCTTCCTTGAGTCGAGCAGCCCGGCAGAATATCAGAAAGGACTGATCCCACTCCTCATGTTCGCGGCATTCCTCCGCTACTCCGACCTCGTCTCCATCCAGTGGAACGACATCCACTTCGACGAGGAGTCTATGTGGATCCTAATCCCGCACTCCAAGACGGATCAAGACGGCAAGGGCTCATGGATCCGAGTTGCTCCCACAACTAGGCCTTACTGCCCAGTCCGTTGCACCCAGCGGTTTCTGCAACTCGCGGGACACCCCACCACCCCGCATGGACCACTGATCCGTGTCTTTGGCACCAGCGGCAGGGCAACCCCTCACGACAGCGCTCCGTCATACACAACCATCTGCAACTGGTGCCTCGAAGCCTTCGCCAAGGCTGGGCTTGACAACAGACACCTCGGCACTCACTCCTTCCGCAAGGGCGCCGCAACTGCGGCAGCTAACTTGGGGATCCCTGACCGGCTCTTCAAGCGACTCGGTCGCTGGCGCAGCGATACGGCCAAAGATCTCTACTTCACAATTGCGCAGGACCAGCTCCTTGCGGCATCCACACGCATCCAAGACGCGCCCGCCGCTCCATCGCCCAGACATCACCAGCTCTCCATCGAGCGACACCGCCAGCCCCTGCTTCACATGCCTCAGAAGACCCATATGAAATGAAGCACGCTGCCTTTGCCAAGGTGACCCAAGCAAGCTTTCACAATATGTAATTTTTTGAAAGCGTGTAACACTTTCTAAAAAATGTGTATTGTGAAAGTGTAGCGAGGGCCAACGCAGCAAGGTCAGCGTCGAAGCGCTACTCACCCTCTTTTGCCTACAAAAGAGGGACGTGAGGCCATTCGACCTCACCCATGTTCTTCATTTCTAGTTCCAGTTTCGTTTTCCCCACCCACCCACCCTATTGGACGGTGTAGTCTATTGGACGAGAGCCATGTTCTGTAACCCATATGAAATGAAGCACGCTGCCTTTGCCAAGGTGACCCAAGCAAGCTTTCACAATTTTCTGGTCAGCACTTAACAAGTTCTAAGACTTCCGCTGCCTTACTAGTCTACCATTCAAGTAAAGATCCTAGGCTAACACTTGAGGTTTTCCAAGTGTTCATGTTTGCAGATTCTATACTTAGTCTCCTGCAACACCTGTCAAATTATTATAGTAACCTATCAGAATTGAAAAATTAATGATAGAGTGAGAGTACACACAAATATACCTAAGTGTTGTACCCTCTAAGAGGTTACCCTATACAGTCTATACAAACATAACAAATACACATGTTTGACACACCCCCTAGACTGCATAGGGGAATGTCCTAAACAAACAGCTCAGGGCGGCACTACTAGTCCAACCTCTCAGACAAGGGTCTGAGAGACCAGTCAGAAGGAGTACAGACAAGGCAAGAACAAGAGCAGGGCGGCACTACTAGTCCAGCCACTGGGAGAGGACACAAGTCCAGTCTGAGTATACATATAAAGGATAGTACAAAGTCAAGGTCCTAGCAAGTGAGAGGCTACAGGAACTAGACCAAGCTGTACACAGTGCCGCTGATGATCTTTAGGCGCAAGCGCCTTCGTAAAGATATCAGCCGTGTTGGCACCTGAGGCCAAGTGTACTACGCGAGCCTGACGTCGCTGCTGCAGCTCACGCAGGAGGAAGTACCGCAGCTGAATGTGCTTCGCTCTGCCCTCGAGTCGAGGCTCCTGACACAGGAGGATCATGGCCCTGTTGTCAGCGAACAGGACCGGGGCAGAGCTAGGCCGCTCACCTAAGTCAGTGAGCAAGAAGGTCAGCCAGCGGAGCTCCTGTGCCGCCATGGCACCAGCGTAGATCTCAGCCTCACAGCTGGACTGGGCAACAGACGAGGAGCGGGTAGCTCTCCACGAGACGGCACCTGAGCCAAGGCTGAAGCAGTAGCCCTGGGTAGACCTGAGTGTCTCGGCGTCGTCTGCCCACGAAGCGTCTGTGTGTCCAGTAAGGACCACTGGCCTGCGTCCTCCTAGCACTAACCCCATGCCCGATGTACTAGCAAGATAGCGCAAAACCCTCTTAGCGGCAGACCAGTGCTGCGGTCGGTGTCTGCCTGTGGCCACAAAGCGAGCCAGGATGCTGAGAGGGTATGCGAGATCTGGGCGAGTGCAAGTCATCAGGTACATGAGGCAACCCACCAGCTCTGCGTAGGGGCCGCTGGGCTCTACCAACTCCTCAGACACTGGAGTGGAGAGTCTGTGGTCTACAGGCAGAGGGGTGGGCTGTGCAGAGGAGAACTGAAGGCTGAACCTCTGAAGGACCTGGCGCACCAAGTGTGACTGAGTCAGGGTGATGGTGTGCGCAGCTCTGTCCCTGGAGATCTGCAAGCCAAGGTAACGGCGCAGTTCTCCAAGGTCAGTCCACGTGTGTCTCTTCAGCAGCTCTGCCTTCACGGAGGCCAGTGCGTCCCTGTCTGCTGTGGCAAAGACCAGGTCGTCGACGTAAACAAGGATGTAAAACGGAGTCTGGCCAGCACGAACGAAGAGTGAAGGGTCTGCGAAAGACGGAAAGAACTGCAGGTCAGCAAGCGTAGCACGGAGAGTGTCGTGCCACTCACGAGGAGCCTGGCGCAGGCCGTAGACAGGGCGCCGCAGGAGCCACTGGGTCCCAGGAGGGAAGGTGCCAGTGAAGCCCTGAGGGCGACGCAGGTAGACCTGCTCGTGTAGGCTGCCCTGAAGGAAGGCAGTGGAGAAGTCGAGGGAGTGAAGCTCGTAGTCACGCTGAGCAGCTAGGTGTAACAGAACCCGAAGAGTAGTCATCTTCGGGGTCGGAGCGAAGGTCTGGAAGAATTCCACCCCCTCGCGCTGACTGAAGCCTCTAGCCACATAGCGCGCCTTGAAGACAGGCGGCTCTCCAGGAGGGCGCTTCACCTTGAAGAGCCAGCGGCCATCGACTACGTTCACCCCAGGTGGGGGAACTGCGTCGACGAAGGTGCCGGTGGATCTCCAAGATGCCATCTCCTGCTCCATGGCAGCTATCCACTGCGAGGCCCAAGGTCCCGAAGTTGCCTCAGCGTAAGTGCGAGGGGTCGGGATGTCGAAAGGGTCTGGGTCACCCTCAGGGACTAGCAGCATGGAACAGAGATGGGGAGCAGCCTCGGACAGGAAAGCAAGCTCGAACTGGCGGTCCTCCAGGACGTCACTGCCAAGGGCAGGAGCACCCCCGACAGACGGAGGACAGGCAGGGTCAGAGACCAGAGCAGTAGCGTAGTCAAGGCGGCGGGTAGAGGCGAAGTCAGCGACAGCAGCGACAAGAGCGTCAAGGCACGAGACCGGAACGGATGGGTCGGTAACGAGAGAGGCAAGGACCCGAGGAACAAGGGGACGAGCTGCACGAAGGTAGTCAGACAGCGGGGGGGGTGCAACAACAAGGGAGGACGGAGGAGGCAACGGCAGAAGGGGAGGACGAGACGCGTGGAAACGAAACAACATAGGGTGGGAGCGCAAGACAGGCGAGGTAGGACGAGCACGAGAGGGACGGTGAGACCAGACGTGCGACGGAGGAATCGGGTCAGGAGACAGGGGAGGGGAAACAGGAGGGGAACGAGGGGGGAGACAGGCCGGGGACGAGTCCGGCGGAGGGAAAACAAGGCCGTAGACAGGAAGAGGAGGAGACGGTCGGGGAGGAACGAACGCAGGGTCGGGGGACGGAAGGCCGAGCAGGCGAAGGGCTGACACCGGCGGGGACTGCTGCTGTGGCGGCACAACGGCGACACCTGGACCGCAAGCTGCTCCTCGGCTACCACCGGCACTCTCCACACCAGCACCCCCAGAGGGGCCACCCCCTGGGCGACTGGGACGAGCACCCCAAGAGTCAGCGAACGGGTGCTGCGACGGCGGCGGCGGCGGCGGCGACGGCGGCAGTGGCGGCGGCGGCAGCGACAACGACGGCTGCAGAGGCGGCAGAGGCGGTGGAGGAGGGGACTGGGGAGGGGACGCCGGGGGAGGGGCAGCCGGGGAGGACTGCACAGGGGGGCCACCAGAGTGAGAAGACTCCTCAACCGGGTCCACCGACGGAAGGGGGGTGACGTGGGACACATCAGAGGGGGCGGGACGGGGAGGAGGAGGAGGAGGGGCAGGGACTACCGGGGAAGGAGTGGCCAGGAACAGGGGGGGGGTAACCGGGGGACCACGGTGGGGGAAGCGACGGTAGTAGGGGACGGACTCGTCAAAGGTGACGTCACGAGAGTGGAAGAAGCGGTGAGACGGCGGGTGGTAAAAGTGCCAGTCGGACGCGTCAAGGGGAAAACCGAGGAAGACGCAGGGAAGAGTGCGGGCGGTGAGCTTGTCCGTGCCGGAGGCACGAACGTGAGCAAGGCAGCCCCAGACGTGAAACGCAGACGCGTCACCAGGAGACCCAGTCCACAGACGGGTCGGCGAAACCTGCGGCTGCTGAGGGTGCGGCCATAGGTTAAGCTGGTGAGAAGCGTAGCGCACAGCGAACGGCCACAGAAAATGGGGTGCACCGGCATGGATCATGGAGGTGCGAGCCACCTCCATGACCAAACGGATGCGTCGCTCAGCGACCCCATTCTGCTGTGGGGAGTTCGGTAGGGTGAACGTCTGGGTGATGCCCTCTGCACGACAAAAGCGACCAAGGACACCTGAGGCAAACTCGCCACCACGGTCTGAGTGAAGACGCAAGACAGGGAGACCGCGGTGGACACGCGCAGAGACAAGCCAGGGGATGAGAGTGCCAGGCACGTCGGCCTTGCGCTCCAGGGGAAAGACTGTGGTGTAGCGAGTGAAGTCGTCGACGAGCACAAGGAAGTAGCGCTCTCGACGCGGCCCAGGGACGGGGGCGGGGCCCCAGACGTCCAGGTGCAGGGTCTGCAGCGGCGCGGCGGTAGGGGGAAACGAGGAGGATTGAGGGGCATGGCGAAGCCGACCCTCGACGCAAGGCGTGCAAGGTGGGGCTGGGGAGGAGGGAAACGCGGGGAGAGAACCTGGGAGACCAAGGACAAGACCGTGATGGGACATGTGACGCAGACGCGGGAGCGCAGGGTGACCTAGGCGGTGGTGCCAAATGAGTTTCAGGTGAGTGAGGGACCGACAGGAGCAGGCAGCAGCAACATGGGTGAGCGCTCCAGCCGGGGGGGTCACGGTGTCCAGAGTGAACAGGCCGGACACCGGGTCCCGGGGGAACGTGGACAGGGGGGCACCAGTGGCGGCCTCGGTACAGACAGCATACCGCTCGTGACCAGGGAACGTAGTGGTGACGCCAAGGTCCTGGAGGCAGCCGACACCAACTAGGTTCCTGGAGAATGAGGGGATATGCAGACCTGTAAGAGAGCCCGAAGGAACCGCCGGACAGGGAAGGGTGGTGGAACTGCGGGCGACTACCGGACCGCCAAAGGGGTCAGCGAGGGAAACGGCCGCAGGGACAGGAAGCGGCGTCAGGGTGGTGGAGTCGCGGAAGAAACACCGAGAGGCGCCAGAGTCCAAGGTGAAGGAAAGCGAAGCAGAGGCGTCTGGCGGCGGAACGACGGCGGAAGCACCAAGACTACACAAAGCAGAGGATCCTACGCCGGACGCAGCAGGGGAGGGTACACTAGGCACACCTACACTAGGCAACAGTGAGTAATAAGCTGGAAGCACACTAGAGTCAGCAGCATACATCACATGCAGAGCAGATACAATGGCATCCATGTCCATATCAAATATCTGAATCTGACGACTAAGCAAACTGTGCCAGTCCGGGAGGTCTGGCGACGGGCCGAAGCGCTGACGAAAGAGGTCGTCCAGGCGACGAAAACAGCGGGGAGTGGAGTGACCGATCTTACCGCAAACGAAGCCGCGGCGAGGACCGGTCTGGATCTGGTACTGACAACGCCCGCCGCCAAAGCTACCACTCGACACACCACCACGCGCCCGGCCACCGCCAGCGCCGGGCCACCCGGGCGGGAGGACACTCGTCTGCCGCGTCTGCGACGGCTGCTGCGAAGGCTGCGACTGCGGCGGCTGCTGCGGCTGCTGCAACTGCAGGGGCGGTGGCTCAGCTGGACTGGGCAGGGTCCCCTCGTCCGCTCCAGCACCAGACGACCCGACCCCACCACTACCCCCTCCCGCACCCCCGCCTCCGCCTCCGCCGCGCCCAACCTTGGGGCGGCGGCCCTTCCCCGAACGAAACTGCGCGGCAGCAGCAGTCTCAGCCACTGCGACAGAGCCGTCGGAGAAGGTACACTGGGCGGGGGCACAACCCTGAAAGATAGGGACAGGCACGACATCTCTCGCCTGGGCGATGGAGCGGTGACGGGTCTCTATCACAGTCAGGGTGTCTACAAAGTCAGTGAGGGTGAGGTCGGCGGGGTGAATGCCAAGGAAGCGGTCGCGGGCGACAGCAAGGCGGTCAGGGAGGCGGGTGGCAAGCAGGTAGAGGGTAGAGGTAATGGGCGGCTGGTGGGCTCTAAGCTGTGCGTCAGTGCAGGCGGCGCGCCAGGTCTCCTCTATCGAGCGCAGGTGGGCAGCGAGGTCAGAGACAGTGGGGAAAGATACCAGGTCAGGAAAGAGCATCGGGAGGATCAGGCGACCCACCGAGGCAGCCGGAGGGGTGGAATAGCGCTTGATGACAGCATCTAAGTATGCCTGAGCAGTAGTGAGGGACCTAAAGCGAGGACGCTCGGACGGGGGGAGGGCGTTGCTAATGGCAAGCTGAGCGACAGCATCGCGAGAAAGCCAGACAGAGCGCGCACGGGCAGTGGCAGCAGTAGACTCACGCTCAGTGGGTGTGGGGTCAGCGGGCAGAATAGCAGGGGGGTCTGGGCAGGGGAGCGTACCGTCAAGGTGTGCGGAAAGCGGTTCACCATCTTGCCGCTGGCCAGTGAGTTGGCGGCGGAGGTCGGCAAGCCACGCCTCGAACTCTAGGGGCTGACCTTCAGCGTCGAAGCGAAGCTCCGCCGCCATCAGGAACAGTCCAGTGCGGTGCAGGGCAGTGCAGCTAAGTGGAGTGCGGTGCAGTGCGGTACAGTGCGGTGCAGTGCGGTATAGTGCGGTGCAGTGCGGTGTAAGGCAGTACCGTGTGGTGCAGGGCGGTACGGTGCAGGGCAGTGCAGGGCGGGGAAAGGGGGGGAACCGTACCAGTGAGGAGGACGGGGCCGGGGCCCCGGGGCCGGGCAGGTGCGACAGGGCCGGGCGAGGGCGACGGGGCCGGGCGGGCGCGACGGGGCCGGGCGGGCGCGACAGGGCCGGGCTGGTGCGACAGGGCCGGGTCGGGGCGTCGGGGCCGAGCGAGCGCGACGGAGCCGGGCAGGGGCGACGGGGCCGGGCGGGTGCGACAGGGCCGGGCCGGTGCGACGGGGCCGGGCGAGCGGGACGGCGGCCGGGCGGGTGCGACGAGGCCGGGTGGCTGCGACGGGGCCGGGCAGGTGCAACGAGGCCGGGCGGGCGTGACGGGGCCGGGCTGGTGCGACGGGGCCGGGCTGGGGCGAGGGGGCCGGGCTGGGGCGACGGGGCCGGGCGAGCGCGACGGGGCCTGAAGGCGGACGGGGCCCAGGAAGGGCGCTACAGGGCCCAGGAGGGGCGCTACGGGGCCTGGGAGGGGCGCGACGGGGCCCAGGAGGGGCGCTACGGGGCCCAGGAGGGGCGCGACGGGGCCCAGGAGGGGCGCTACAGGGCCCAGGGAGGGCGCGACGGGCCCAAGGAGGGGCGCTACGGGGCCCAGGAGGGGCGCGACGAGGCCCAGGAGGGGCGCTACGGAACCCAGGAGGGGCGCGACGGGGCCTGGGAGGGGCGCGACGGGGCCCAAGGGGGTCGCGACGGGGCTAGGGGCTAGAGGGGTGAGCGGAAGCGGGAGGTGGGGGGGATCCTACCTACGCGTGATACCATATCAGAATTGAAAAGTTAATGATAGAGTGAGAGTACACACAAATATACCTAACTGTTGTACCCTCTAAGAGGTTACCCTACACAGTCTATACAAACATAACAAATACACATGTTTGACATAACCTTGGCGCATGAAAATATGAAACCAAAATTTTGAAGGTTACTATGCAACCAAAAATTCGTCATAAGAAAACTGTAAGGCCAAAAGATTCCACGCAATATGGTGATGCCTTCCTCTGCTCTAAACTCTCGAACCGTTGTCACTAAAGAGAACAAGACACAAGCTAACTACGAAGGGATCATGCATGATTTATTCCCAAGCTCCTGGCTGGCGCACAGTGACAACCTTTCTACGTGAACCTACTCCTAGAGAGTTCTTGTCCTCCCAAAAATCTGGAGTGATGATGACTCCCATCTCATACGCTGCATAAATATCGCCAGCCGGGCCAACCATCCTGCTCTGAAATGAAACCTCAATGCGGCACTTTCACACGTCCATCTGACTGCTGTGCAAGATCACTGTAGCAGCCAGCCCACCTCCCTTTCACATGCCCATCCATCCACCACTCCTCCCACCGTGCTACTCTGCATGATGCTTTTGCTTGAAGTCCTGTGCGACGTCGCGGTAGTGCAGCGACATCTGCTGCAGCATTCGCACGGGCTGCTTGGGCAGCTGGATCATCTTGCCCGCCACTGCCACCGGCAGGCTCAGCGACGCGATCAGGATGCACGCAATGAACTGCAGGGGCGTGAGCGGCACGGTGGATGCGAACTTGCCGAGCACCTGCACGAGCAGCACCTGGAAGGCAGTGGAGGCGAGCAGGATGCCCAGGAAGATGCCGTTCTTCTCCATGCCCTGCACCACGTTCACCCGCTCCATCTCCCGCGAGTTCACCTCGTTGAACAGCTGCCACAGGGAGGTGTGGGAGGGGGCCGGAATTGCACGGCATGCATGATGGCAGCGTGCAACACACACAGAACAGAATTGGGGGGGAGAGGGGAGGGGGGAGGGAGAGTGCAGATGAAGACTTCGAGGGAGGCAGGGAGGAGGGAACATGTGATGAGGAGCAAAGGTTCCGTTGCACACTCTCTCAGTCACCATACCAAGGGCCCCACGGTTGAACATGGCTTGACAGTCTAGGCAAACACAGCTCCCTATAACTTCACCTACGCACCTCCCTCACCCCTGTGTTCCCGCCTTCCCCCTCCACATCTCCACACTCCACCCCCCCTCCGCCCCCTCTCTCCCCTGCCCTGTCTCACCTGGCAGAACACGAACGTGTTGAAAACCACAGTGTCGAGGCGCTGGGCTGCATCAGGCGCGTGCGCGAAGCCAAACACCCAGGGGCCCCACGCCATGATGGCGGCGAGTGTAAGAAGCTGGAAGAGCGCCTGGCAGATGATGTTGCGCCACATGACCGCGCTGATGAACGGCGCGCGCCGCCCCACCGGCGCCACCTTCATCAGCTCCTCGTCGGGCGGCTCCGTGGCCAGCGCCAGCGCGCCCAGCGTGTCCATGATCAGGTTCACCCAGAGCAGCTGCACCGCTGTCAAAGGGGCCGACCCTGGCCGTGGGAGGGCATTCGGAGGTGCGGGGTGGGTGGGGGGGACGAGGGGAATGGGGAGGGACCGTGAAAATGAGTGGGAGAGATTCAGAGAAAGAGGGGAAGGGGGGGAGAGGGCAGATGCAAAGCAAGTTGCAAGGGATAAGACAAGGCGAGGCGTACCGGTGGTGCAGGCAGAGACGAAGTTGGTGACGAGGGCAACGATGTTGACGGTGAGCTGGAACTGCACGAACTTCTGGATGTTGGCGTACACACTGCGCCCCCACTTGGCCACGTTCACCACCGACGAGAAGTTGTCGTCCATCACTATCACGTCCGCACTCTCCTTCGCCACCTGCCACACGTGGAGTGGGGTGGGGAGGGGTTGGGTGGGGTAAGGGGAGGCGGGAATGGGGCGGACGAGGCAAGAGAATGAGAGGAGCAAGGAGGCGTGGCGGTGCATGGCGTTAAGCTGAGTGGGTTCGGAATCGATCATCCGCGACGGTGTGTACATGAAGGAGATGGCATAGCAAGGCAGCCACACTTGGCTGACTAGCGTTTGCTGCTTCGACTGCATGTCAACACAACACCATGTGCTGTGCTGTTCATCCCACCCTTACTCTTCCCTGTCTCCCCTTGCTCTCAACTGCCCACAGGTGTGCGTCCCCACCCCACCGACCCACACACACCCACCCCCACAACTCCCAAACCAATCCCACCCCCACACCACGCAGCCCACCAACATACTCTCCCATCCCTCACTCCCTCCCTCCCTCCCTCCCTCCCTCCCTCCCTCCCTCCCTCCCTCCCTCCCTCCCTCCATCCCTTCTGCCCATCCCCCCACCTACCTCGGTGCCGGCAATGCCCATGGCGAGTCCGATGTCGGCCTCCTTGAGTGCGGGCGCATCGTTGGTGCCGTCGCCCGTGACGGCCACCACCTCACCCATCTCGCGCAGCACGCTCACCAGCGTGTGCTTGTCCGTGGGGGACGACCGCGCCATCACCTGCCACAAACGGGGGTGAGTGCAGGCGAGAGCGTGGGGGAGAGAGCATGGCACGGGCACAGGGCACGCGTGAGGAGCATGGCAGGAGAAAGAAGGAGAAATATATGTCACGGCAAGGGCGAGGCAAGGAAGGGTGTGTTGGAGTTGAGACAACGAGCAGCAGCTCCTTCAATCCTCGTCCGTACCTCCTGTCCTCTGCTCTTGTGCACGGACAATCACGTGTGCACCCAGTCACCCCACTCGTGTTAAAGATGAGACTTGCCATAGAACTGCGTGTTTTCCCTAGATAGGGTGCGTCTCAACATGTAAGATTGGGTTGGCTCACAATATGAGTGTAACCAACCCAACTACAGTTCACCTTGAGGACCCGTCAGGTCACCCACATGGGTTTGGCCAACTGAGCCCTGTTTGGTTCATCCCCAGCCAGCCCCACTTGGCTGAGACCAACGAGCCTCGCATGGCTACTTGACCTCTTGCCAGATTAACCAAGTACATTGTTTCCCCTCTCAACTCCCTAGCGCCTAGTAAAGTGCTTTCAACCCATCATCACGCTCATCCATGGTCACAGCCATCCATGCATGGTTATGAGGTGGCAGGGCAGTGCAAGAGAGGCAGTGCGGCGCACCTGGAGGCGCGGCAGCAGCGCCATCATCTGATCCTTGGAGAGCTGGCGGAACTTGGGCCCCTCGATGGCCTCGCCCGTCTCCGTGAGGATGCCGCACTCGCGCGCTATGGCAATGGCCGTGTTTAGGTTGTCGCCCGTCACCATGCGCACCTGGGGCCACGCACAGCAGGTGGCCAGGGGGAGGGGGGGGGGGGGGTGGTTGACCGAGGCAGTGCGGAGGATGAAGAGAGGCAGAATAGAGGGAGAGACAGCCGGTGCAGTGCTTGCAATGGCTGCGGCGGCCTTGTCATCCCGGGCGTCATAGCATGGGAAATTCAGTGCACGTGCAAGAGGCGGCAAGGGAAGGGTGGCAGTGGCGATGGGCTCCACCAAGGCACAGAGGGTTTGACGCGCGGACAGACGGAGAGAGGGGGAACAAGTCATATTAAGGGGGTAGGGAAGGGTGGAGGAGAGGGGAGAGTGGTCAGGATAAGGCAGGTGTGGCATTGGGGTGAAAGCAGGTAGTGGAAGGCAAGAGGTCCTAGGGGCAGCAAGCTGGCAGTCAGACGGGGGTAAGTGAGAGTCGATGCAAGCAGCTGCCGCCACTTTCCGGCATATCTTGGTCCACCACTCAGCAGTAACTTCTCACCCCCTCCTCCCCCCCCCCACTGACCACGATGCCGGCGGTCTTGCAGGTCTGCACGGCGAGTGGCACTTCGGCGCGCAGGGGGTCCTTGATGCCCACCACGGCCTGCAGCACGAGGTCGTTGTCGGGAATCTCGTCCCGGTCGCCCCACACTCCGCCCTCCGGCACCTCGTCGGGCCGCAGGTCGCGGTACGCCAGGGTGAGCGTGCGCAGCGCGTTGTCCGCGAAGCCCAGCACCACACTGTCCAGCGACCCGGAGGGGAGAGGCGCCACCTGGGGCCCCAGGGGAGGGAAGGGGGGAGGGAGGGAGGGGAAGGATGGCAGGAGTGTGTGGAGGGAGTGGAGGGAGGGATGGGCAGATGGAGAGGATGATGTGTCAGTGAAGAAACTGGTGACCAGTCCGTCCGAGTTCCAGATTGTGCCGTGAAAATTCACCTCCCCATTTACAACAAAGTTGTTTCGCTTTAGTAAAAGCGCTGCTCTGGATTCTTCACCTCTCCCGATTACTGTTTTGCCAACGAGCAATTGAGAAACAGCTCTTCTCTTGGGCAGCCAGTGAAATTTTTCAGGCTGACCGTTACATATATTTCTTTGAAGGAGATAAACAAGCGAATGTCAACACAAGTAGTTGAAAGCGCAAGATCCGATTTCCCCATGAGAGTTACCCCCCACCCGTCTCCCCAACCCAGCATTGCTCTTCTCTTGCTGTCTACCCTGGACGCTAACAGATTCAGGTGGTTTTAAAATTTCAGGTGTTAACATAAGTTCTGCAGCACGTGAAATGAGGAAAACGCGGATCACCCTGCCTCCATTTAGGAGGCTCCACACAGTTTCGGAGCACCCTGACTCCAGGGCGCCTCTCCTTCCATGCCCTTGTACTTTGCATCCACACCAAACCCCCTCCTCCCCCTCTCCCCACCTACCCCCCACCCACCCCGCTGCCCACCCCCCTGTGGTGCTCACCACGCCCTGAGCGTTGCTGACGACCTGGGAGCACGTGGCGAGCACCATCTCAGCGGCGCCCTTCCACAGCACGCGCACGGTGCCGTCCGCCAGGCGCACGACGGCTCCCATGCGCTTGCGCTGCGAGTTGAACGGCTGCAGCTTCAGCACCTCCACGCTGCCGCGCACCGCCGCCCACTCGCCGCCCAGGCGCAGCCCGAGAGCCAGCATGGCCTGCTCCGTAGGCGTGCCCAGCAGCACTGGGGCGGCGCTGGGGGGGGCGTCTGGCGCAGGGGGCTGCACGTCACCACTAGTGTTGAGGAAGAAGTTGAGCAGCAGCGAGGCCCGCAGCGACTCCGGCAGACCGAGATCCTAGGGTGGGGAGGAGGGGGCAGGAGGGGAGAGAGGGATTAGGGAGGAGAAAGGGGAGTGAAATATAGAGACAGTGTGGTGAAAATAGAGAACGGCACTCAGAGCACACAGGCATGAACAAGAGCAGCAGCAGCAGCAGCAGCATGCACTGACCACGGGGGCGGGAGCACCAGTGGGGTCTTGGGGCGGCAGCACGTGCACGGAGCCCATGAGCCACGTCTGCACGACGGTCATCTGGTTGGCCGTGAGTGTGCCCGTCTTGTCGCTGCAGATGGTGGTGGCGGACCCCATGGTCTCGCACGCCGCCAGCTTGCGCACGAGCGCCTTGTCGCGCATCATCTTCTTCATCGCAAACGCCAAGGACAGCGTCACCGCCAGGGGCAGGCCCTCGGGCACGGCCACCACCACGATGGTCACCGCTATGGCAAAGAAATGCACCACCTGACAGAGGGGGGCGAGGAGGGGGAAGCGAAAACGGGACGGGCGTGTGGAAGCAGTGCATTTGGGGTGGGGGGTTGGGGAGAGGGCAGGTGAAGGTAATGCATGGGGGCGAGTGCAGGCGGACAGCACGCCATGTGCGCACATCCTGCCGGGCTCACTCGCTGCTGCGCAGGTTCCTGGGTGGAGTGTTGATGTGCGGCTCACTACACTCGCTCATGCACCCACAGGTGCTTGCTTTCACATGCATGTGCAAGCACACACACACATGCACACACACACATGCACACACAAACATGCACATACACATGCACAAGCACACATGCACATACTCCCCCCCACACACACGCACACACTCAACCTCACACACTAACACACACTAACTCACACTCAAGCACATACACACTTACTCCATCACTCATCGACTCTCACCCACTCACACACACACATTCACACATTTTCAGACTCACACTCTCACACGCACCTCGAGGGTGTGGTGGAAGGACCAGTCCCAGAGCGAGGTGGAGCGCAGGAGGCGGAACATGAGCACGAAGAACACCAGCAGCGCCACGTACAGCCCCACACGCCCGATCAGCGTCGCCACGCCACTCAGCTTCACCTGGAGTACCGCACCCGCGGGCGGAGGGGAGCAGTGCACCAACCAGTGGAGGGACAGATGCGCCTTCGCTCCATACTCGTTCAAGCGATCCGTCCACAAAAGTCTGCACACACTTACTTCCTCCTGCGCCCACTTCCTCCTTCCCCCCTCCTACCCCGCGTTCTCAACCCTCCTTGGCATGCCACCTTCCCCCAATTTCCCATCTCTACCTGTCACCCCACCCCGTCCACCTCCCCTCTGCCCTCTCCCCTCTGCCCCCTCCCCTCTGCCCCCTCCCCTCTGCCCTCTCCCCTCTGCCCTCTCCCCTCTGCCCTCTCCCCTCTGCCCTCTCCCCTCTCCCCTCTCCCCTCTCCCCTCTGCCCTCTCCCCTCTGCCCTCTCCCCTCTGCCCTCTCCCCTCTGCCCTCTCCCTTCTGCCCTCTCCCTTCTGCCTTCTCCCCTCTGCCCTCTCCCCTTTGCCCGCTCCCCTCTGCCCGCTCCCCTCTGCCCGCTCCCCTCTGCCCGCTCCCCTCTGCCCGCTCCCCTCTGCCCTCTCCCCTCTGCCCTCTCCCTCTGCCCGCTCCCCTCTGCCCTCTCCCTCTAACCTCTCCCCTCTGCCCTCTCCCCTCTGCCCTCTCCCCTCTGCCCTCTCCCCTCTGCCCTCTCCCCTCTGCCCTCTCCCCTCTGCCCTCTCCCCTCTGCCCTCTCCCCTCTGCCCTCTCCCCTCTGCCCGCTCCCCTCTGCCCGCCCCTCTCTGCCCGCTCCCCTCTGCCCTCTCCCCTCTCCCCTCTGCCCTCTGCCCTCTCTCCTCTGCCCTCTCCCCTCTGCCCTCTCCCCTCTGCCCTCTCCCCTCTGCCCTCTCCCCTCTCCCCTCTGCCATCTCCCCTCTCCCCTCTCCCCTCTCCCCTCTCCCCTCTCCCCTCTCCCCTCTCCCCTCTCCCCTCTCCCCCCGCCCCCTCCACCTGCAGCGGCGTCTCATCGTCGCCGCTGTCGCTGAGCTTGGCCATGAGCTGGCCCCACTCCGTGTGCATGCCCACGCCCGTGGCGAGCGCCGTGCCGTGGCCGTCCTGCACCTTGGTGCCCGCCAGGAAGAACGGCGCCTCCTTGCCCTTGTACGCCGGCACACTCTCTCCCGTCATGCTCGACTCGTCCACCACCAGACTGTGCCCTGGGGCAGGGGGAGGAGGAAGGGGGGGGGGAAATGTTTGAAGGGGGAAGGGATGGAGGGAGGGGGGTGGAGGGTGGGGGGAGGGGAAGGGGGGAAGGGGGAGGGGAGAGGGAGGAAAGGGGAGGAGAACGAAGGGATGGGGGAGTGTGGTGATTGAATGGATGTAAGAGTGATTGCTGCCCCTGCCATTGCCCAAGCACGCCATGCCACTCTCGCCCGTCATGCCCCACTCATCCACCACCAGGCTGTGACCTGGGGAGGGGCGAGGGGAGGGGAGTGAGGAAGTTCAACGAAAGGAGCTCCGTCAGCCGGCGTTACTTTGAGATTGAGTGTTGTCTTGTTTTTGTCCTGTGCTGGTGACTCTTTTGCTGGGCCAGATGTTCACCCTCAGTAACAAGGGTTTAGGGTACAAGTGAGGAACGGAAGAGGAGGGGGGGGGAGGGAGGGGGGCGATGAAAGAAACAGCCCATGCAGTGTGGTACGTTTAGCGAGCAGCGCGCAGGCAGCAGGCACGGACCTTGGATGAGGAGCGCGTCGGCGGGCACGATGTCCCCCGTGGAGAGCACGATGACGTCCCCCACCACCAGGTCGAACACCGACAGCGCCTTCCGCACGCCCCCGCGCACCACCTCCACCGTCACCTTCTTCTTCTCCGCGTCCAGCAGCCGGAACTGCAGGGGGGGGGAGGGAGAGGAGGAAGTGGGGGAGTGGGTGGAAGAAAGGGGGGAGGGGTGCACATGGGGGAGGGAGGGAAAGGGGAAGGGGGGGAAGTGGGGGGTGAGTGCAGGCATGAGGTGGAAGGAAGACGAATTTGATCGAGGAGACTCGGTGGTGCGCCAGCACGGATAGCGATGAGCGGATCACTCAAGAGTGCAGCGCACTTGAGAGATTGTGCGCTCCGAAAGGGCGAGTGCGAAGCGAGTAGCGTGCATGGCGCACTACTGGAACACAGCACACCACACTCGCATCGCATGATCCCACACGACACGACCGGCGAAACCGATTCCGGTGCCGGTTACAGCTTCGCCTAACCAGCACGACGGACACCTGGCTGACCTTCTCGTTTCGGCAGCACTATCAAACGATCCAACACACTCCCTCTCGCCCAGAGAGAGAGAGAGAGAGAGAGAGAGAGAGAGAGAGAGAGAGAGGAGAGAGAGAGAGAGAGAGAGAGAGAGAGAGAGAGAGAGAGAGAGAGAGAGAGAGAGAAGGGAGAGAAAGAGAGACAAGGGAAGGGGTGGGAAGCGGGAGGGGGAAAGATCAGGGGGGAAGGAGTGGGGACATGGTTGGGAGAGGGGTTAGGTTACCTGCAGCGACTGGCGATAGTCGCTGGTGGCGGTGACGAAGACGACGAGCAGGATGGAGAGCAGGATGCCCGCGCCGTCGTACCACCCCTCCTGCCACCCCTCCGTCACGATGCCCACGAGCAGCGAAAACACCGCGCACACCGCCAGGATCCACAGCGTCATGTCCTGCCGCCCGCACCACAGAGGAGGGATGAGGGGGGGGGAGGCGGGGAGGGAAGGGGGAGGGGAGGGGAAAGGGAGGAGGGAGGAGGAGGTCAGTCAGGGATGGTGTGGTGTTGACTGGCGGCGGTGAGTGCAAGTAGCCTTGCTGGTCACTACTAGTTTGTCCGTTTGCGGACATAGGCGACACTCTGCGAGTGCGACGAGTATCAAGATAGCGTCGCAAGACGCGGCTGGGCAGGGCGCGCGGATGAGGCACTTCGTATAACCCGTCGAGCGAGTGGCAGGGGTGACACGCGAACGACAAGAGGCAGCAGGAGCAGTGCGGATGGGGCTCGAATGTTGGCTACCTGCCGTCCGCTAACGAACTGGGTACCACGGTCGTGCGATCGGGGGTCAAGGTTGACAGGTGCGGGCGTTACCTGCATGGCGCGTTACCGGGATAGCCAGCGATCGTACCTAAAAGCCACGTACACGTACACGGGCGCCTCACCTGCATGGCGTCCCAGACGAACTCGAAGAAGGTCTTGGGCGGCTTCTCGGGGTACGTGTTGGTGCCGTACACCTTCACGCGCCGTGCCACGTCCTCCGCCGTCGCCGTGATGCCGTTGTGCGGGTCCGTGTCGAGGCGCCGCGCGATGCCCTCGACGCCGCCGTACGAGCTCTGCAGTGCCGCCGCGTCCTGCCCCGCCATGATGCCCTCCAGCTGCTTCGCCGACAGCCCGAACCCGTCCGCGCGCGCCGCCTTCACCGCCGCGTCCGAGATGCGCGACAGCACTGCGGGGGAAGGGAGGGGGCAGGGCGGGAGGAAGGGGGTTGGGGGTGGGGGGGGTGTTGAGAGCGGAGGGAGGAGGGAGGAGGGAGGAGGGAGGAGGGAGGAGGGAGGAGAAAGGAGGGAGGAGGGAGGAGGGAGGAGGGAGGAGGGAGGAGGGAGGAGGGGGGAAACGGGGAGGCGGGTAGGATGAGGGAAGATGGGAAGGAAGAAGTAGTGGAAGATGGTTGTGGGTGGTTGATGGGTAGGAAAGATGGGGTGAAAGGACATGGCGTAGCGAAATGCCTTGGCTGCAGCCTGCCGTCTCGCATGGAGCGTCGCTCGCGTTGCTCAGGTATGTGCACTACGCAACTGCTTGAAAACGCCAGGGGTTTATCTCATGCCACGGATCGCGAGCACTGCGCGACCCTCTTCCCTTTCCTCCGCGGCGGGTGCGGCCGAGTCGCACCTGACTTGAAGCGCGTGACGGCCTTGATCGCCGACGCGCCCACTCGCAGGCGATTCACCACCAACTCCTGCCGCAGCGACCACAGCCACGGGAACGGAAACACGCACACAGCGACCATTGGTGTCGCGAGGCAAGACCCAAGCACAGGACGGACCGACAGCGGAACAACAACTGCCAAGCCAGGCGAGCACGCGGCAGGCAGCGCAGGCAGCGACCGCCGGCACTGGAAGCAGCAGCAGGGGGTGGCGGCGGAGGCGTGGCGAGTGACTCACCCGGGGGTCGGGCTGCGAGATGTTGTGCGTGTAGCGGAAGCGGCGCGCGGCGTTGCGCACGAGCGACATCTTGCGCCAACGGCTCTGGTCCTCCTTGGAGTGGTGCTTCGCGTCGTAGTCGAAGTCCCCCAGCCCCGCCCGCAGCGGCAGCAGGGCGTCCCGCCACTTCCACCCCGGCGCCTTTGCCCCTTCGCCATCACCAGCCGCGGGAGCAGCGGCAGCAGCGGGAGCGCCCGAGTCGGCCCCAGTGTCGGAAGCGCTGGTGGCGGGAGCCTCCGCGGTGTCCGGGGGGAGGAGTGGCTGGGAGCTGTCGGACGAGGCGGGCGCATCGAGACTGGCGGAAGGCGCGGTCGACGGCGGGAGAGGCTCCCCCGCACTGCTGTCCTCAACCATAACGGCTGGCTGACCTGAGGGGGAGAGGCGCGGGCAGACACGGCGCGGAGAGGAAGGAGCAGAAACAAAGAAATGGATTTGGACGCAGGAAATGATGGTTGACCGATGCTGGAGGCTTGAAGGACAGCTTGGTGTGGAAATGAGAAACAGATGAAGTGATGCGAGGGACGAGACGAGAACCAAGGGGATTGTGACGTAACAACTTGTTTTCGTGCAAGGGTCATGTGCAATGAGAACCGTGCGTTGCAACTACACATTGCCGTAAGCTATTCTGGCCCGAGTTCCCCCGCGAAAGGACTTCAATGCGCCGACGGATCGAGATGACACAAGCAACAAAATCTTTCAGGACCAGGCTGCAAGGGCGTAACTAGCAGCGGGCTACATTGCGTGTTCGATCACAAGCATGGCATGGTAGTTGTGCCATGCAGTGTCCTCGAGAGGAAGGCCTACATGCATTATGAACTTCCGTTGTCTACGCGGCATTGCTTCCGTTCTTACCAATCCGGATACTGGAAGGAATGTGGACGCACTACCTCAATGGGACATGGGAGTGGCGGGACGGCAGATAGAAACAGGCCTCACCTTACGACCCTGTAGATCACGGAGCTGCCGCAATGCTCTGAAACACGGGGGCTAGGTGGACTGTTGAACCTCCCTACCAAGGGAGGACGAGGAAGGGAGGGCGAATTAGGAGATATGGCGACAGGCCAACCAGACAGTGAACTGATAAGGATTGTGAGAGGGGAGGAGATAAAGAGTGCCCAGATTGGCAGGAGGCGGTCTTGAAGGGCTCTGTTATTCCTGTTTGCTTAAGGGACTGTTTCTAGTAGGTGTCATCCCGAAAAATTGTCATCCGAGAATGCTGGAAACCCATCGCAACCGTTATTTCGAGAATTCAACGGTTGCGATGGGTTTCCAGCATTCTCGGATGACACTATTTCGGGATGACATCTACTGAAAACACGGCCTAAGTTCGGGAAGCTTTCAGTACATCAAAACATGGAAGAAACCAGCTTTCTGCCACTTTTCACCTCCACAACTTGGGGGTTGATTACATTCGCCTGCCCAAAAAAAGGACGTAAGGACAAATGCAGGTTTCATTGAGAAGTATCTCGTTTCCAAACCCAGCTACGAAGTGTCACACTTGTCAGCATCTCGTCGTGTCAGCGACTCCTGTAAGTGACAACATAGTAAACCATGAATTGTGCATTCCGGCTGCCTATAACCCCGCGTGTCCAGAGGCCTGACATTGGGGAGTGGCAATCGCCAAGACTCCATGATCCTGTAACCTCCTTCTGGAAGGTCGAGCATGGAGCCATGGGCAGATTCTGTACGCGCGCTGGATTCTTGAGCTGCTGATGCCGGGGAGGGTGGGGGCCGGGGAGCGGATGTGCGGGGAGTTTAGGGGAAAAGAAACAGACAAGTGGGTATGTTCAGAGTGGGGTGTCGGGGGCAAAGGGCAAAATGTGTTAGGGAGGGGAGCAAGTTTGGGGGGATTGGCTTGGCGTCCACACGGTGCTGGGAGTTTTTGCTAGGGACTTCAAAAAAGGCGCGCGGGGAAGATTCGGGAAGGGGGAGATTGGTAAGGCGCGGAAAGCCTGAAAGGGACCAAACCAAATTCATGGTGGGGGAAGCGAGCGTCGCGGGGGAGGGGAAATCGCACGCGCGAACAGTGCTTACACGCGGACTTTGGAACAGTAACTGTGATGGACATGTACTGTTCAGCACAGTGCAATTGACGAATGAAGAGCAGCTTTTGACGACCATCCAAACAGAGCAGATGATGCAACGTCCTCGTCAGATCAGCTCCGTGTGACGACGCCGAAGCCGAGACCAGAAACGCTCGTCCCCAACCGAACGCTGCTGTAGCTGAATCTAAGGGCGTGTCAATGAACTTCGTGCCTGGTTCAGCACCCTTTTCTGTTACCACATTTAGGGCTGTAACCCAACAAAAAACACCCAACTCCAACCATAAACAGTGGACACTCGCACACATTCAAGGTAAATGCGCCGAACAGAAGAAAGCGCCCCGAAACACCAGCTCGTGGTTCATAAGTGACTAGAGCGTGTGAGAAAATGACGAACATTTCCAACGACACTATAATTCGCACGTTGCCAAGCACAAACTCCCAAACCTACCAATCAAAGTCGTCACAGTTACTTTAAATGAGACCTCGTTACTCGCCATTCTAGCAGGTAGGAGATGTTAAGCCCGAGGAACTGGATTACAGACTTTAAGGTAGTATTGTCGACGCCTTCTCTCAGGTTCCCCTCGTACTGGTCGAGCAGGTACGGGCTGATGCCGGTGTAGAGCATGTCATCGACTTAAACCATGATGAGGATGTAGTCGCCGCGGAAGTGTAGGTGGTACATCCCAGTGTCATCTGACAGCTGGATGAAGCCGATGGCGAGGAGAACGTTGTGTAGATATTGCTGTCAGGGGCGGGGTGCTTGCTTAATCCCATAGAGGGGAGTTTTTTAAGCTGGCACACGCGAGAGTCTCCGTCGTCGTATGTGTGAGGTTGCTCGATAAAGATCATAGCGTCAATTTTTTGTAGAGGAACACATTTTAACATCGATTTGTCGGAGCTCGAGATGCTTACATGATGCGACAACGAGGAGGATGCGTACGGAGGCGTGTCGGTTGGCCGGAGCGAACATCAGATTGAAGTCAACACGGTAGAGTTGGTTGTATTCGCGTACGACCCGACGTGCTTTGTTGCGCTAGATGTCTCCGTTAGCATCCTTCTTGATGTGATAGACCCACTTGCCGGATGGGATATTTCTCCTCTCCACTGCTTCACAATGAATTAAGACCCATGTGTTGCAGGAGTGAAGACCGGCGAGTTCTGCGCTCGTGGCCTTGCGCCATTTTGTACGGTGAGGTCCAGTGAGAGCCTGATGGGGTATTTTGGGCTCGATCACGGTAGATTTCTGGTGAACGGCGGCATGAAGATCGAGAATGTGGAGTCTCGAGAGGCGACTGGAGCGATGTGTCAAACATTTGTATCTCTAATGTTTGTATAGACTGTATAGGGTCATCTCTTAGAGGGTACAACCCTTAGATATATATCATTGTACCCATGTTCTCTAATTATTCAATTCAGTTCTAAGATGGTATCAGCAGTAGGTAGATCCCGCCGCCCGCCCGCGCTTCCGCTCTAGGACCTAGCCGCCCCCGCTCCCGTCCTAGTCTACCGCTCTAGCCGCCCACCCTAACCGCGCCCGTGCGCCCGTCCTAGCTGCGTCCGCGCGCTTGTCCTCCTAGCCCCCCCGCGCCCATTCTACTGGCCCCTGCGCCCGTTCTACCGGCCCCCGCGCCCGTCCTAACGGCCCCCGCGCCCGTCCTAGCTGGCCCCGCGCTCGTCCTAGCTGGCCCCCGCGCCCGTCCTACCGGCCCCCGCGCCCGTCCTACTGGCCCCGCGCCCGTCCTAGCTGGCCCCCGCGCCCGTCCTACCGGCCCCCGCGCCCGTCCTAACGGCCCCCGCGCCTGTCCTAGCTGGCCCCGCGCCCGTCCTAGCTGGCCCCAGCGCCCGTCCTACCAGCCCCCGCGCCAGTCCTACCGGCCCCGTGCCCATCCTAGCTGGCTCCCGCGCCCGTCCTACCGGCCCCCGCGCCCATCCTAACGGCCCCCGCGCCCGTCCTAGCTGGCCCCGTGCCCATCCTAGCTGGCCCCGCGCCCGTCCTACCGGCCTCCACGCCTATCCTACCGGCCCCTCCGCTCGTCCTAGCCGGCCCCGCGCCCGTCCTAGCTGGCCCCCGCGCCCGTCCTACAGGCCCCCGCGCCCGTCCTACCGGCCCCCGCGCCCGTCCTAGCCGGCTCCGCGCCCGTCCTTGCTGGCCCCTGCGCCTGTCCTACCGGCCCCCGCGCCCGTCCTAGCCGGCCCTGCACCCGTAATACCCGCCCCAGCGCCCACCCTCGGCCCGTCCTAGCCGACCCCGCGCCCGTCCTACTGGCACCCGTGCCCGTCCTGCCAACCCCTGCGCGCGTCCTGCCCGTCGACCTTCGGCCCCGTGCTCACCTTCCCGTCGGCCTGCCGCCGATCTGTGTGCGGCCCACCCTTCGTGCCCGCTACAGCCCTGCACCCTCCCTGTTACGGTTCTGCAACGCACTATCCCGCACTGCACCGCGCTACACTGCACTGCATCGCACTGCCTCGTACTGTACCGCACTGCACCGCGCTGCACTGCACTGCCCCCTGCACTGTCCCGCACCGCACCTCACTGCGCTGTCATGCACTCCACTGACTCGCCTGGCGCCGCCCTGCACTGTTCCTGATGGCGGGGGAGCTTCGCTTCGACGCTGAAGGCCAGCCTCTGGAGTTCGAGGCCTGGCTAGCCGACCTCCGCCGCCACCTCACTGGCCAGCGACAGGATGGCCACTCGCTTTCGGTACACCTTGACGGTACGCTTCCCTACCCAGACCCCCCTGCTGTGCTACCAGCTGACCCCACACCTGCTGAGCGTGAGTCTGCTGTGGCCGCTGCTCTTGCTCGCTCTGTCTGGCTTTCCCGAAACGCTGTCGCACAGCTTGCCATTAGCAATGCCCTCCCCCTGTCTGAGCGCCCTCGCTTTCGGTCTATCACCACCGCCCAGGCTTTCTTAGATGCTGTTATCCAGCGCTATTCCACCCCGCCTACTGCCTCGGTGGGTCGCCTGATCCTCCCTCTCCTCTTCCCTGACTTAGCGTCGTTCCCCACGGTTGCTGACCTAGCTGCCCACCTCCGCACGATAGATGAGACCTGGCGCACTGCCTTCACTGACGCACAGCTTAGAGCCCATCAGCCGCCCCTTACCTCTACCCTCTACCTGCTTGCCACTCGCCTCCCTGACCACCTTGCCACTGCTCGTGACCGCTTCCTTAGCATTCACCCCAGTGACCTCACCCTCACAGACTTTGTAGACACCCTTACTGTTATCGAGACCCGCCACCGCTCTATCGCCCAGGCGAGCGGTACTGTGCCGGTCCCTATCTTTCAGGGTTGTGCCCTCGCTCAGTGCACCTTCTCCGATGGTTCTGCAGCTGTGGCTGAGACCGCCGCTGCAGTGCAGTTCCGTCCGGGGAAGGGTCGCCGCCCCAAGTCAAGGCGCGGCGGAGGGGGTGGGGGTGCAGGTGGAGGTGGTGGTGGAGTCGGGTCGCTTGGTGGTGGAGCGGACGAGGGGACACTGCCAGGTTCAGCTGAGCAGCCGGCCCAGCAGCCGCAGCAGCAACAGCAGTAGCCACATCAGCCGCAGCCCCCGCACCAGCCGCAGCAGCCGCAGCAGACGAGGTCGGCGAGTGGCCTCCCGCCCGGGTGGCCTGGCGCTGGTGGTGGTCGTGCGCGTGGTGGTGTACCGGGTGGCGGTTCGAGAGGCGTGCGCTGTCAGTACCAGCTCCAGACCAGTCCTCGCCGCGGCTTCGTTTGCGGTAAGATTGGTCATACCACTGCCCGCTGTTTTCGTCGCTTGGACGACCTGTTTCGTCAGCGCTTCGGCCCGTCGCCCAACCTCCCGGACTGGCACAGTTTGCTTAGTCGTAGAGTTCAGATTTTTGACATGGACATGGATGCCATTGTTGCTGCCCTGCATGTGATGTATGCTGATGACTCTAGTGTGCTTCCGTCTTATTACCACTTGTCGCCTAGTATAGGTGTGCCTAGCTTAGCCTCCCCTGCTGCGTCAGGCGTAGGATCTCCTGCTTTATTTAGCCTCGGTGCTTCAGCCGCTGCTCCGCCGCCAGACACCACTGCTGCGCTTTCCTTCAC